CAGACGATAGATGAGATGGATAATGGATAATTAACAGATAGATGAGATAAATACATGGATAGATAGATAAAATAGGTAGATAGAAGAAAGAAGAGAAAGATTACATGGATGGATAGATAGATGGTAGCTAGATACAGAGATAAGCAGATGGAATACATGGATGAATGGTTAGATAGATGGAATACATAGATGAAATCAATGGATGGATGGGTGGATAGGTAGGTAGCTCAGTGGGTTGGTAGCTAGCTGGATAGTGATATAGTTTGGCTGTGTGCTAACCCAAATCTCATCTTGAATTGTAAGTTCCACAATTCCCATGTGTTGTGGGAGGAACTTAGTGGGAGGTGATTGAATGAATTATGGGAGCAGGTCTTTCCTGCACTGTTCTCATGATAGTCAATAATTCTCATGAGATCTGATGGCTTTAAAAAGGGGAGTTTTCCTGCACAAGCCCTCTCTCTGCCTGCTGCCATTCATGTAAGACATGAGATGTGGACTTGCTCCTCCTTCCCTTCTGTCATGATTATGAGGATTTCTCAGCCACACGGAACTGTAAGTCCAATAAGCCCCCTTTCCCATATAAATTACCCAGTCTCGGGTATGTCTTTATCAGCAACCTGAAAACAGACATACGGAGAGATGTATAGAGAGATGCATAGATAGATACATACATACATACACACGTAGATGACAGATAGATACATACATACACACATAGATGATACATATATACATACATACATAAAAACATAGAAATAGAAAGAATAAATGGTCTGGACAACAGGATAAATAACAGAAGTTATTGTCCCTAAATTCTCCATATGCCTCTGAAACAGTGCTAGCCAAAGCCCTTCTCAGATACAGGAGAGGGTCCCTCGATTTTCATTCCCTTATTCCTCACACTGAGACCTCCTCGTTCTCAGCAGTGAGGTGCTCTGTTTAGCACTAGGAGTCACAGCCCGAGCTCCCAATCCAAGAGACATCTGCAGGTTAGCACTCAATCTTAAAGAAAGAACGTGAAAGCTGTCAACACTGTGGATTGGGACGAGGCTGGAGAGCAGGTGACAGCCATCATTGCAAGTCTGCTGGCTGCATCGATGCTCTGTGTGACTTCAGTCCTACTCAAGGTGGCCCTGGCCTGTGGGTTCTGCACAGTCCTTTCTGGCTCACAAAAGCATACAAGGATGGAGACAGAGGATTAAAACTCCTGCTTGTCCAACCTGGACCCAACCTTTAAAACTTCTGCTTGCTTCTGTCCAACCTTGACCCAACCTTGAGAAAAGAACAGTTTGGTGATATCTGAGGTAGCACAAACAACATGACTTGCAAGCTAGTCAGACCTGCACTTTAATCTCAGCTTTAAAGCTCAGTGAACATGCGATCTTCAACATATCCTCCTGCCTCCCTGCACCTCTGAGATACCCTGTTACATGATGGGTACTGTTCTTCACAATGTCATCTGCATGTCAATCAGACTGCAGTGTACACATTCACATACAGGGAGGCTTTGTTTCACAATATTATCTGCATGTCAATCAGACTGCAGTGTACACATTCAAATACAGGGAGGCTTTGTTTCACAATGTCAACTGCATGCCAGTTAGACTGCAGTGTGAACATTCAAATACAGGAAGGCTTTGTTTCACAATGTCAACTGCATGCCAGTTAGACTGCAGTGTGAACATTCAAATACAGGAAGGCTTTGTTTCACACACATCACTTCGAGTGAGTCAAAACTGACCTGCCAGCACAGCTCAATTTGCACAAATAGCAATTTACTCAAACATTTAAGTGATTTTCTTAAAGAGGTGTTGACTTACTTTATAGCTTTCTTTTTTAGATGAAAATATTGAGAAGTTTTTTTTAATCTTGTATTCATTACACTTAGAGTTGTTATATCATACAATAGACATCAAGAGTGTATGGAGAGAATCAACAAAGAATTTGAAATTAATGGTGTTAATCCCTGATGTTGATTGCCAAATGATTTAAGACACTGATATTTTTTATCTTTCTTAAGACAGGGTCTGGCTCTGTCACCCAGGTTGGAGGGCAGTGGTGTAATCTTGGATCACTGCAAGCTCCACCTCCCAGGCTCAGCTGATCCTCCCACCTCAGCCTCCCAAGTACCTGAGACTCCAGGCACATGCAACCACCACAACGCACCAATATTTTTTGTAAGTTTTTTTTTTCAATAGAGATGAAGTTTTGCCATGTAGCCCAGGCTGGTCTTGAACTTATGGGCTCAAGCAATCTGTCTGCCTAAGCCTCCTAAAGTGCCAGGATTACAGGCGTGAGCCACCATGCCTGGTCAAGAATTTTTAATAGACATCAAAGTTTCCATCAAGCATGTAGGTGTTCATTATTATTAGTAGTAGTAGTAATAATTTATCTTTCATGATGAGATTTTGCTTTGTTTCCCAGGATGGAGTGTAGTGTTGTGATCATGACTCGTTGAAATCTCAACCTCCTAAGCTCCAGGAATCCTTCCACCTCAGCTTCCTGAGTAGCTGAGAGTACAGGTGCACTTCACCATGCCCAGCAAATTTTTCTATTTTATATAGAGATGGGGTCTCATCATCTTGCCAAGGCTTCAAGCAATATTTCTGCCATATTTTTATTATTATCATTTTGAGATGTAGGGTCATTCTGCCACCCAGACTGGAGTACAATGGCATGACCTTCGCTCACTTCCACCTATTCCTCCTGGGTTCAAGTGATTCTCGTGCCTCAGCTTCGCAGGTAGCTGCGACTACAGGCGCACACCACCCTCCTGGGTAATTTTTTCTATTTTTAGTAGAGACAGGGTTTTGTCATGTTGGCCAGGCTCATCTTGAACTCCTGACCTCAAATGATATCGGCTAACCTCAGCCCCTTAAAGCGCTGGGATTACAGGCGTGAGACACCGTGCTCAACCACCATATTATTATTTTTAATATACCTTTATTTTTAGAGCAGTTTTAGGTTCACAGCAAAATTGAGTGGAAAGTACAGAGAGTATCCACATACTCCATGCCCCCAGACAGACACAGCCTCCACCAGTCAACATCTCCCACTAGAGTGGTGCATTTGCTACAATTCATGGGACTGACACATCATCATGACCCAAAGTTGACAGTTAAAGTTCACAGTTGGTGTTGTGCATTCTGAGAGTGTTGACAAATCCATGACATGCATCCCACACTATACTATCACACAGTATAGTTTAACGTTCTCTAAAATCCTTTGTGCTCCACCTATTTATATCGCTCCTCCACCAACCCATATCAACAACTGATCTTATTGTCTCCAAAGTTTTGTCCTTTCCAGAACATCATATAATTGAAAGCATGCAGCAGGTAGTTAACTTTAAAAAATAAAATTCTGAATTATTTCTTTTGAAAAGAAAACATTATTTTTTAGCCAGGATGATGTTTAAATAATTACTGTGTGTCAGACATTGTATATATCTTGCTTAATTAAGTTATTAACATTTTTGTGAATAAAGCGTTCACCACCTTATGTTACAGTACAGCTCAGAGGATCGAAATTGGGGCAGGTATGCATGTGAGCTTCCTTACTTTTGAGACCCCTGCTGTTGACTCTATATTTGTTTTGAAAACTCTGAGTCTGCTACTGACCATCAGAATACTTGGATCTTGACTTTGACCTTAGGTTTCATTTATTTCTATCCATGTGCCATTTGACAGGTTGAAGCCACCATCAAGTCGAGATTTCCTACACAAAAAATGTTCTTATGAGCAGGCTGGGCATGGCGGCTCACACCTGTAATCCCACCACTTTGAGAGGCTGAAATGGGCAGATCACTTGAGGTCAGGAGTTCAAGTTCAGCCTGGCCAACAAAGCGAAACATTGTTTCTACTAAAAATGCAAAAATTAGCCAGGCATGGTGGTGTGCGCCTGTAATCTCAGCTACTTGAGAAGCTGAGGCAAGAGAATACAGAGTGAGCCCCTGTCTCGATCGATCGATCAATAGATAGATAGATAGACAAACAAATGTTCTTATGAGTGATCATCTCTTTGAGGAATAAGGGAAAGGCCATTCCTATAAACAATTCATGTTTTATTATCACTGATATTCTGTTTTATTGCATGTTTGATGTGCAAGTGAGGAAGACCAAAAAAATTTTGAAGAAATGCTTCATATAGACAGAGTTAGTAGTAAGAGAAATCGGACACAAGAGGACCTAATTTAGTCAGTGAAATAGTCTACCTGCATTACCTGGATACACAAGAGTGTTGAGATACCACCAAGAAGCTCCGAGAAACTCTCTGAGTCTCTGTTCCCCTGGATTGTGTTGGATGCATGAATTCACACTGGAATTCCGGATACAGCATCCTCTTGATTGAAATGCTTTTCTTTTCAGGCAGCATCTGTAGGGACCTTTCTCAGAGTCAATGACTGGTGACACCTCTTCCTAGCCTACACTTATATTCCAAATCTGTGTAACTTTCTTGCTACAAATACACAAAGATGGAAATGCAACATCTAACTGTAATTAAGGAGAGTGAGAGGTGCATACTTGCTGCTGTGATCAGTTGTGTTTCTATGAAAATGCTTAGGCATAATTTTACCAAATTAATATTACAGTAACCATGCACTTGAGTCAACTTCTACCAAGTTCATTTGGGTTTAAACGAAATATGGAGATGAGCTAGTTTTTACCCAGAAAGGCAGTGGGGAGCTACAGTAATATTTTCAGCTCTTATGGCTGGTCATGAAGTAAAGAGATTCTGAATTCTATGATCCCCTTTGAAAAATAAAGAGATTCTAATTTCTATGGGGAAAATGTAACTTCTATGGAGAAATTCAAGTTTTTTGGGCAAGAGTGAGGTACCAGAGACAGAAAAGGAGAATAAGTTCAAGACATTTATGCAGGAAGTACAACACACACACACACACACACACATTCACACAAACACAACACGAGTAGGGTGGACACTTCAATAGAAGAAAGGGCTTGAATGAAAATATGCAGGCCTGGCATGGTAGCTCATACCTGTTATCCCAGAACTTTAAGAGGCTGAGGCAAGAAGATCGCTTGAGCCCAGGAGTTTGAGACCAGCCTGGAAAACATCTTGTAGATGTGAAACACCATCTCTACAAGAAAATGCAAAAAACTTAGCTGGGCATGGTGGCACACATCTGTAGTCTCAGATACTCGGGAGGCGGAAGTGGGAGGATAACCTGAGATTGGTAAGACAATGTGACAGTGAGCCTGGTGACAGAAGAAGACTCCCAAGAAAACAAAAAATAAATGGGAAAAATGCGGAAGAAAAATACGGGTATAGGATAGCAAAAAGGAGCATCCACTTAATCGAAATAGCCATAGTATGCCAAAAATTACAGATGGTGAAGACAGATTCAAAATAAAGCAAAGAACGTTGTTAGCTCGGAGGTGGTCCTTATACTATGCAGACAATCAAGGTAAATTGCTGTGTGATCACAGTGCAAATGTGGATGCAAAGACAAACAGAAAACAGTTACATCACATGCTTTGCAATTTCCTACTTCTGGCATCTAATGTTGTACAAGACGTTGGCCACCATTGCTCTCATAGGCAACAGGAGATTAAGGGTGGGTGGGAAGAATAAAAATGGGAATAAAAAACTACCCAAAGACATGAGGGTAGCCTCTGGGCATCGCTGAGAGTGAGGTTAGAAAACAACAGTGCTAAAATGCGTACATGATTACCATTTTGTATTCTCAACACAGACTGGGGTTTCAGTAGTAAAGACTGTTAACTAATGTGCTCTTAGATTCTGTCATTTCTGCTATCCAACATTTTACACAGGATATCCATGCAAGTCATTCTGTTAGTCTCCAAAGACTAGAAATAAAAGTTGTTTAAAAACAACTTTTCTAATTAGATTTTTTGTATTTTACTCTGGTATCAAAGTCATTTCTTTTCCAGCTCATAAAGCTCATCCTAAAAAAATGACATATCCAGTATGAATTGTAGGTTCCAAATGCTTTGAATCACATCATCGTGGTGGGTGTGGTTTTTCTATAATCACTTCCAAAAGAGAAACGTTTATTTTTGTTGGTTTCTTTAAGCCTCTTCTCATATAAATGCTGTAAAGACAGAAAAAAAATCTCAGCACAGTATGTTGATAAATCCCACGATAATTCTCTCCAATTTTATTAGTTAAGAATTCAAGTTTAGGCCGGGCCCGGTGGCTCACGCCTGTAATCCCAGCACTTTGAAAGGCCAAGACGGGTGGATCACGAGGTCAAGATATCGAGACCATCCTGGTCAACATGGTGAAACCCCGTCTCTACTAAAGATACAAAAAATTAGCTGGGCACAGTGGCACGTGCCTGTAATCCCAGCTACTCAGGAGGCGGAGGCAAATTGCCTGAACTAAGGAAACGGAGGTTGCGGTGAGCCGAGATCGCGCCATTGCACTCCATCTTGGGTAACAAGAGTGAAAATCCATCTCAAAAAAAAAAAAGAATTCAACTTTATTATGCAAACAAATCAGTATTGAGACACGCACGTCAGGTAGGCGACAAAATGTCTTAAAACTTTATTTCTGCAGAGTTTTCTTTCACGAAAGTGTGTAAAAGTCAATCATTCTTGGACATTTTCTTAACTTTATTAATAACTTTGAACACCACCTTTATGGACTTTTAGAGTTGTTAATCAGGATTTCCTGACAAACAGGTTATGCTGATTTAAATCAAGCCATCAATGGAAAACAAAAATGTGTAAAGGTTTAATATTTAAGTGTGTTGAAATAAACTGGTGTCACCCTAAATAACAGAGAAAGACTCTGTAAAAGAAAAGATATTTATTTGGGAATGTAGCATTGCAATGGAAATTCACATGCCATAGGAAAATGAGATGATGATACCACCATACCACCTGTGGAGGTCTATTCTGCAAACCCTGACTCAGTGGTGGATGAATAAATACACTCAAACACACAGCACAGTGATCAAATGGGCTAGGGAAGTCATCAGGTGTTCCCAGAGGGCGATTGCAGCTATCCAACCCCTTGCTAGCTGTTTCTCCTCGCATTTGTTCAGTATAGATTTAGTAACAGAGGTTCTAAGTCAACATGCTTATGGATAATTAACATGGTTAAAATAGTGGTTTTACAAATGATAAAAGCTTTTGGTTCTAGGGCCCAAAGTAAAGGCCATTAATGGGTAATCTCTCTTCGGCCTCCCCAACAGGGAGATGAGTAAACAGTTAGTCACAAAGGAATGTTGGGTAAACAGACTTAACTGGGGAAGTTTCTGTTATTTCTAATTTTCACCCTATAACCTAATGCTCTAAGATAAGAACCGGGTGTCTTCAGCCTGTCCCATTATTTAATAAAAATCTTTCTGCCTTCCAAAAGGTTTGAGACAATTAATCCTATAACTTCCCTAATTATTCCCTTAATATGTTGCCAACCACTCTGAGTGGCTCTTAACAGGAAACTATGTGAATATTTGGGGAGGTGGAGAAGAAAGACAAAGATTTTTTTGAGGGAAATATTACTTACTTGTTTTGAAATAATTATCTGTGGCTACAAATATTGATAAAAAGGCTGAGCCAGGCACATTGGCTCACACCTATAATGCTAGCACTTTGGGAGGCCAAGTCAGGAGGATTGTTTGAGCCCTGGAGTTCAAGATCAGCCTGGGCAACATAGTGAGACCCTGACTCTACAAGAGAGGAAGAACAAGAGGAAGAAAAAGAAGGAGGAGGAGGAGAAGAGAAAAGAAAAAAACAAAGAAAAGAAAGAAACAAAAAAAGGAAAGAGAATAAAAGAAAGAAAGAATGGAAGGAAGGAAGGAGACAAAGAAAGCAGAAAAATATAGAAAGGACAGAGAGAGGAAAAAACAAAGAAAAAGAAAGACAAGGGTGAAAAAAAAAGGAAGTATGTCTGTCTCAGAAGAGCAATAAAAAGTGTGTCCTGCACAGAACAGCAATGTAAAGTGTGTGCTGCACAGGATAGAAACAGGGAGTATGTCCTGCAAAGAAGAGACACAGGAAATAAGTCTTGCACAGGGGAGGAACTGGAAGTGTGTCCACCTTTTAGGAGAGTAACAAGAAATGTGGCCTGCACAGGGGAAGAACAGAAAGTGTGTGCTTCATAAGGGAAGAAAAATAAGTGTGTCCTGCTAAAAGGAGACACAGGAAGTATGTCTCACACAGGGTAGGAACAAAAAATGTGTCCTGCATAGAGGATAAATGGGAGATGTGTCCTGTACAGGGGAGACAAGAAGTGTGTTCTGCACAGAAAAGAAACAGGAAGTGCGTCCTGCACAGAGGGGAAATAGAAAGTGTGTGCTGCATAGGAGAGGCACACAAAGTGTGTAATTCACACAGCTGAAAGAAGAGGAGTGTCCTTCACAGAAGAAAAGCAGAAACGGGTGAGAAATAGGAAATATGTCTGTCTTGCACAGGGTAGGAACAGAAAATCTGTCTGTCTCAGGAGAGTGACAGGAAGTGTGTCTACCACAGGAGAAACACAGAAAGTGTGTCCTGCACAGACGAATAAAAGGAAGTACATCTGTCTTAGGAGAGACAAAGAATGTGTGTCATGCACAGGAGAGACCCAGGAAATGTGTCCTGCACTGAGGAAGAAAAAGAAGTACGTCTGTCTCAGGAGAGCAACAGAAAGTGTGTACTGCACAGGAGAAACACAGGAAGTGTGTCCTGCATAGAGGAAGAACAGGAAGTAGGTATGTCTCAGGAGAGCAACAGGAAGTCTCCAGTCTCAGGAGAGCAACAAGAAACACAGGAAGTATGTCTTGCACAGGAGAAACACAGGAAGTGTGCCCTGCACAGAGAAAGAACAGGAAGTATGTCTGTCTCAGGAGAGAATCAGGAAGTGTGTCCCACATAAGAGAATTAACATATAGGAAGAACAAAAAGTAGGTCTGTCTCAGGAGAGCAACAAGTGTGTCCTGTACAAGAGAATCACGGGAAGTGTGTCCGACACAGAGGAAGAACAGGAAGTAGGTCTGTGTGAGAAGAGCAGCAGGAAGTGTGTCCTGCACAGGAGAAACACAGAAAGTGTGTCCTGCACAGGAGAAACAAAGGAAGTGTGTCCTGCACAGCAGAAAAACAGAAAGTACGTCTGTCTCAGAAGATCAACAGCAAGTGTGTCCTGCACTAAAGAAACACAGGAAGTGTGTCCTGCACAGAGGTAGAACAGGAAGTACGTCTGTTTCAGGAGACAAACAGGAAGTGTGTTCTGCACAGGAGAAACAGAGGAAGTGTGTCCTGCACAGAGGAAGAACAGGAAGTAGGTCTGTCTCAAGAGAGTGACAGGAAGTGTGTCCTGAACATGGGAAACACAGGAAGTCTGTCCTGCACAGAGGAAGTACAGAAAGAAGGTCTGTGAGGAACAGGAAGTGTTTCCTGCACAGGAGAAACACAGGAAATGTGTCCTATACAGAGGAAAGACAGAAAGTAGTTCTTTGTGAGGAGAGCAACAGGAAGTGTGTCCTGGAGAGAAGAAACACTGGAAGTGTGTCCTGCAAAGAGGAAGAACAGGAAGTATGTCTGTCTCATGAGAGCATCAGGAAGTGTGTCCTGCAAAGGAGAAACACATGAAGTGTGTCCTGCAGAGAGGAAGAACAGGAATTAGGTCTGTCTCAGGAGAGAAACAGGAAGTGTGTTCTGAACATGGGAAACACAGGAAGTCTGTCCTTCACAGAGGAACTATGGGAAGTAGGTCTGTCTCAGGAGAGCAATAGGAAGTGTGTCCTACACAGGAGAAACACTGGAAGTGTGTCCTGCACAGAGATAGAACAGGAAGTACATCTGTTTCAGGAGAGTGACAGAAAGTGTGTCCTGCACAGGAGAGTGACAGGAAGTGTGTCCTGCACAGACAGAGGAGAAATGGAAAGCACATCTGTCTCATGAGAGCAGAAGGAAGTGTGTCCTGCACAGGAGAAACTCATGAAGTGTGTCTTCCACAGAGGAAGAACAGAAAGTAGGTCTATCTCAGGAGAGCAACAGAAAGTGTGTCCTGAACAGGAGAAACACAGGAAGTCTGTCCTGCACAGAGGAAGTAAAGGAAGTAGGTCTGTCCCAGGAGAGCAACAGGAAGTCTCCAGTCTCAGGAGAGCAACAAGAAACACAGAAAGTGTGTGTTACACAGGAGAAACACAGGAAGTGTGCCCTGCACAGAGGAGGAACAGAAAGTACCTCGGTCTCAGGAGAGCAACAGTAAGTGTGTCCTGCACAGAGAAAGAACAGAAAAATATGTGTCTCAGGAGTAAAACAGGAAGTGTGTTCCACATGGAAGAATCACCAGAATTGTGTCCTGCACAAAGGAAGAACAGGAAGTAGGTCTGTCTCAGGAGAGCAACAGAAAGTGTGTCCTGCCACAGGAGGAACACAAGAAGTCTGTCCTGCACAGAGGAAGTACAGAAAGTAAGTCTGTCTCTGGAGAGCAGCAGGAAGTGTGTCCTGCACTGGAGAAACACAAGAAGTGTGTCCTGCACTGAAAAAGAAGAGGAAGTCTGTCTCAAGAGAGCAACAGAAAGTGTGTCCTACACGGGAGAAACACAGGAAGTCTGTCCTGCATAGAGGAAGAACAGGAAGTAGGTCTGTTTCAGGAGACCAACAGGAAGTGTGTCCTGCACAGGAGAAACACAGGAAGTGTGTCCTGCAAAGAGGAAGAACAGGAAGTATCTCTGTGTGAGGAGAGTAATAGGAAGTGTGTCCTGCACAACAGAAACACTGGAAATGTGTCCTGCCCAGAGGAAAAAAAGGAAGTACATCTGTCTCATCAGAGCAACAGGAAGTGTGTCCTGCACCGGAGAAACACAGAAAGTGTGTCTGGAACAGAGGAAGAATAGAAAGTAGGCCTGTGTCAGGAGAGTGTGTCGTGCACAGGAGAAACACAAGAAGTACGTCTGTCTCAGGGTAACAAAAGGAAGTTTGTCCTGCACAGGAGAAACAGAGGAAGTGTGTCCTGCACAGAGGAAGAACAGGAATTACGTCTGTATCAGGAGGGTAACAGAAAGTGTGTCCTGCACAGGAGGTACCGAGTAACAGTGTCCTGTGCAGACGAAGGACAGAAAGTACATCTGTCTCAGGAGAGAAACAGGAAGTGTGTCCT